TTCTAATAGCTACCTTATTGCCCCAGGGGCCCTGTAGAGAGAAAGAGAGCTGCTTAAGACAGGTCCTTTAATTTCTTTTATTATATTTTAATGGTAATAAAATACCATCTTTACAATTTTTAAGTGTGCAGGGGCATTAAGTACACTCACATTGTTGTGTGAGGGAGCTCAGAATGAATCACCCTGGAAGCATCACTACGGCATGCAGATTGTCTTGAGCTGAAAACCATCAAGGATCAAAAGACTCAGGAAGAAGCTTTGATCTTCTCCCTAAATGTCTAAAAGAATTTAGTTGGAAGACCTGCTCCAGGACAGGAGCTATCACCATAGATAACTATAATATAATATGAATGAGGGGTAGTAGACAGGGAGGAGGAATTTTAACCAATAGATTGTTCGTGTCCTATCGTTTCTGAATAGCCCAGTGAACATGTGTTTACCAAACATTTACCCCTTTTCATCTTCCTGTGCATTGTTTTCATTCCCTTGGAAATCCCAGACCCCATTCCCCTTCTTAGTTCAGGACAACATTTATACCTCCTTTTGCCTGTCTTTGGAATTTCATGTTTTTGTGGATTCCCTGTACTTACGAAATTAAATGTTATCTTCTCCAGTTAATCTGTCTTCTGTCAATTTAATTCTTAGGCCTGCTAGAAAAACCTTGAAGGGTAGAATAGTTTTTCCTTCCCACATGTGCAACCATCACCACCATCCATCTTCAGAACTTTTTAATCTTCCCAAACTAAAACACAGTACTCATTAAACACTAACACCCAAATATTCTGACACCAACTAGCACTCTGGTCCCAATTCCAGTGTGTGAGTTTTTTCCTCACACCAAGCAATTCTGATATCAACTGCGTGTCTTATAATTCAATTCTGACACTATATAGCATCAGATCACAGGCTATGAGCTCAGTCCTATAAGACTGCTTTCCCATTCCCCATTTCAGATGCCAATTGATGCAAGTCCATGTTGTCACCTGGGCTTGTGACCAAATAATTCCCTTGACCCCTCCTCAGATTCGATTAATTTGCTGGAGCAGCTCACAGAACTCAGGAAACATTTACTTACTAGATTACCAATTTATTATAAAAGGATATAATTTAGGAATAGATCAAAGAGATGCAAAGAACAAGGTATGTGGGAAGGTTGTGGAGTTTCCATGCCCTCTCTAGGCTCACCACTCTCCCCAGATTGCCACATGGTCACCAACCCAGAACTTCTCTGAGCCCACTCCTTTTTAGGTTTTCATGGAGACTTCATTACATGAACACGGCTGATTAAATCACTGGCCATTGGTGATTGATTTAATCTCCAGCCTTACTCCCCTCCTGGAGGTCAGGGGGGTGGAGCTAAAAGTTCCAACCCTCCAATCACATGGTTGGTTCTCCTGATAACCAGCCCCCATCTTTAGGTGCTCCCTGAGAGTCACTTCATTAACATAACAAAAGATACCTCGATGATTGCTCGATGATTCCTAAGCAACAAGCTTAGGAAATTCCAAGGGTTTAGGAGCTCTGTGGTATGAACAGAGAAGACCAAATACATATTTTTTAATGTAAATCAATATCACAGTGATTTATAGAGCGAGCCCTTCTTCCCCCAGTCCCTGGCAATCACCACCCTACTTTCTTTCTCTATGAATTGTATCTGACTACTCTAGGTACTTCATTTAAGTGGAATCATAAAATATTTATTCTTTTATGATTGGCTTATTTCATTTAGCATAATGTCCTCAAGTTTCATCCAGATTGTTGCTTGGGTAAGAATTTCCTTCCTTTTTAAGGCTGAATAATACTCCACTGTATGTATATACCACATTTTGTTTATTCATTTATTCATCAGTGGGCATGTGGGTTGCTTCTACCTTTTGACTACGATGAATGATGCTTCTATGAACATGGGTATACAAAGCCTTGAAATTTTTTTTTAAGATTTTATTTATTTATTTGACAGAGAGAGACATAGCAAGAGAGGGAACACAAGCAGGGGGAGTGGGAGAGGGAGAAGCAGGCTTCCCGCCAAGCAGGGAGCCCGATGTGGGGCTCGATCCCAGGACCCTGGGATCATGACCTGAGCCAAAGGCAGACACTTAATGACTGAGCCACCCAGGCACCCCCATAAAGCCTTGAATTTTTAAAGGAGGCTTTTATTCACACTTTGCAAGCTTCAGAAAAATGTAGTTGTCTATATCAAAGACAGATTTTTACTTTTTAATATTCAGAATCTCTTGGCAGGATGAGTCAGCAGGGTGGAAAAGGAAGATCAGAGATCTAGGAGAATCAGAAGCAGCAATCCTCTAGAATCCAAATAAGGGCTTTGTTTTCCTCTTTTGATGAGGAAAGGATGGCAATCACCTCAAATGTTAAAGAATGAGCACCGATTTGGAAGAGGACAGAAAAGATGCTTTGGGATGTGCTATTTAAGAATTCATTGGGGCGCCTGGGTGGCTCAGTTGGTTGGGTGACTGCCTTCGGCTCAGGTCATGATCCCAGGGTCCTGGGATCGAGTCCCACATCGGGCTCCCGGCTCAGCGGGAAGCCTGCTTCTCCCTCTCCCACTCCCCCTGCTTGTGTTCCTGCTCTCGCTGTCTCCATCTCTGTCAAATAAATAAATAAAATCTTAAAAAAAAAAAAAAAAGAATTCATTGCTGACCTTAGCAAGAACCATTTTATCCCATTAATTATTGAGACAGATGGCAGATTGCAAAGGTTGAAAGAGGTTTGATGAGGATTTGGAAACAGTGAGAAGTAGTGAACTTCTCTTTTGAGAAGTTCAAGGTGCACAAGGAGGAGAAAGCCAGGCACTGACCACATAGGCGACTGGTAGTGAGAAGAAACTAATGTCATTTGAAGTTCTAAACATCATCTTGTTTAATCATCAAAGCAATCCTCTTATGGTGGCTTCTATTTCATTCATTTTCAAATTAAGAATCTGAGCATCAGAAAGGTTAAGTAACCTATTAAGTAAGCAAGATTAGAACCCAAGACCTTCTAACTCCAGAATACTGTGACATATGCCTGGAGGAGCCAAACAAAGGTCATTTGTTTCAGGATGGGGAGATGAAAGATGATTATAGACTACAAGGAGCAAGTCCTCTGTTGTGTACATTTCATGCACAGTCTCTGACTACCTCCTGTATTTACTCATCCGGTCTCCTGCTATCCTGATTCCAACACTCCTTCAACCTCCCAGAACAGAAGTAGCTCAACTCTTCCTTTTCACTGTGTCTCCCTCCATCCCCATTCTTCCTTCCCGGGATATATTGCCGTCAACCTTCCTAACCACTTCCCTGCTGGTACCTTCTCTCCTGCCTCCCTGGTTTAGTCTTGCTTGCTTGACAAACCCATGCAGGTGGGTGGCTGGACAAAAATGTACGCCTACTCATGACAGCAAGTCCCATGTGGACTATTACAAGTGAAGAGCAATCATGCCATTTCTCTCCTCTATTCAATCTCCTACTCACCTAGGTGACTCTCACATCTCTTCCCCATGCTCACTTTTGGCTGGAGACCTTTCTTCCTATTCCAACAAGATTAAATTTAGCAACACAGACAGCATTTGTGACCTTGATATGAGGATTTTCTATAGTGTACTAAGATTAAAGTTGAATCACAGTGGGTTTAAGAGAGAACAGAAGAAGAGGAATTGGAGGCAGTAGGTAGAGACAAATCTTTCCTGGAGGTTTGTGACAAAGCCCAAGCAAAGGAGTAAAGGTTGGAAAGGGAAGCGGGGACAAGGTAATTCGTCCAAGTGCTGGGAATACAGTAGTGCAGAAAATCCCTGCCACCGATGCCCTCCAACGCATAGAATCCTCACTCTTGGGCCCCTTCCAGTCTTCCCAAAGGAGACCGTGGAATAAGGAGGTAAGAATTGGAAGGAAGATCTCCAGAAATAAGGGATTTCCTTCCCAACTAAAAGCAACACTCCAGTTCCACTCATTCCTTCATGAAAGGAAGGCTCCACAGAGGGATCCTGGATTATCCTGGAGACATCATTCCATTGTTAGATAAACCAGAGTCTGAAACAATCTCTACTCCCCTTCACCTCTGTGTCCCTTAGCCTGTTTGGGCCATCATCTGTCTCGGCTGGTTCAAACTCAAAGCCAGGTGTGGCTTGGATTTGTTTGGTTTTGGTGGATGGGTAATTAAAATGAGGTTTAGCCTTTAGCAATGAATATACTTTGCCATTCTATTCCCAAGGATGAATCAGGACTCGGAATTGACCATGACATTAAAAGCAGTTCCAAACTTATTCTGCTATTTCCCAATCCTTTGAGAAGAAGTATCAGGGTGAGGAAAGGCATACTTTGTATTTCCAACCATCACTCCAGGGATCATGGAGAAGCCCATGGGTGAAGGTGGCAGGAAATTAGGAGAGAAGTAGCTGGGAAAATGAGCAGAGGCTTTGGTGTCAGGTTAGGATGATGGGACTTTATTTTATGGTAAGATAAGAGCATAAAACCATTTTAAGGAGGGAAGTGCCATGATCAGAGCTTAGTTTATAAAGATTACTCTTTTTCTTTTTTTAAGATTTTATTTATTTATTTATTTGACGGAGACAGAGATAGCGAGAGCAGGAACACAAGCAGCAGGAGTGGGAGAGGGAGAGCAGGCTTCCCGCTGAGGAGGGAGCCTGATGTGGGACTCGATCCCAGGACCCTGGGATCATGACCTGAGCCAAAGGCAGATGCTTAACGACTGAGCCACCCAGGCACCCTATAAAGATTACTCTTAAGATATGCCTTGGGAGTTTTAAAGGACAAAGTGAGATGATCAGATTTTCCTTTTAGAAAGAATCACTTGTCTAAAAGGAGCTAAAGAAGTCTTAGAGGTATCTAAGGAGGGTACCAATGTAAGGTTTTAAGTAGAAGAGTGACAAGATGAAATATGCATTTTAAAAGAATCACTACTCTAAAGAAGCTTAAAAAGGTATAAATGGCTAAGTGGGGAGCCAGAGGAAACTTGGAATCAGAGTAAGATCCAAGGCCTCCACCATGTCCTCCATCTGCTTCATCTGCCATGGCTGCAGGCAGCCCATGAAGCCGGATCAGTCCATGGGGACCTTGGGTCTCGAGACCACCCAAGAATCTGCAGCTTCCACATTCACCTCAGCTCCGCAGGAGCCAGGAGAAACCCTGGAGGGTGGCCCTACCTCCAAGGTGGAGAAGGACAGTGAAAAGCTCCAGGATGGTGCCTCCTGTTCTACCCTCCCTGGTGATGGCAAGATGTCAAGGGACAGTTCTAACAAGTTCATCTTGCTTGGAAAGTTTGACTCTGGAAGAATGCTCAATAATATCCAGAAGACTGCTAGGGACATTTTTGACATCCTCACTGGTGAAAAAGATATGGACAACCCCCTCTGTGAGGACTGTACTGACAAACTTTTAGAGCAGGTGGACACCTGACTCATTATTGTAGAATCTGAGAACCAGAACTACAAATATTGGATGGGGAGGATACGTGAGGAGGAGATGAAGACACTGCAGGAGGAGCTGGAGGGCCTGGAGCTGGAGGAGGTGAGACTGATCCAGGAGCTGAAGGAGGTGGAGAAGAACCAAGAAAGAATAGCGGAAGATCTTGAGGCAGCCTGGGCAGAGACTAAAATGCTGGACCAGCAAGATGAGCAGTACTGGAGGGACTATAGTAACTTGCAGTGGCAACAACTGGAACTGCAGGATGAGCTGAAGAGCATAAAGAACCAGCTGAGACATGCCCAGATCCAGTGGGGCTGGCTGAAGAAGACCAATGCCTTCAGTGCCACCTTTGAGATTAGGCATGATGGCCCTGTGGGCATCATCAATGGCTTCAGATTGGGCTGCCTCCCCACCATTTCCGTGAGCTGGAAGGAGATTAACATGGCCTGGGGCCAGACAGCCTTGCTGCTCCTTGCCCTGTCCAATAAGATTGGGCTGGAGTTTCAGAGGTATCAACTCGTCCCCTGTGGAAACCGGTCCTATCTGAAGTCTTTAACAGATGACCCTGTTGAGCTGCCATTGTTCTACATTGCAGCGCAGAGAACTCACTTGCATGTCAAATTTGACCAGGCAATGATGGCTTTTTTGGACTGCATGCAGCAGTTCAAGGAGGAGGCTGAGAAAGGCAAGTGGGGTCTTTGCCTGCCCTGCAGGATTCATGTGGAGAGTGGCCTAATGGAAGACTCTGGAAGCAGCAGTGAGTACTATTCCATCAGAACCCATTTGAACACGGAGGAGCAGTGGACAAAGGCACTCAAGCTCATGCTTATAAATTTTAAGTGTAGTCTCGCTTGGGTCTCTTTAAAATATCAAGAATAACTTTTTCTTTTATGAGGGAGAGGGAGATTTTTTTTGCTTTAAAATATTTTATTTGTGAAAAGTAACAAATTGTAAAATTGAAAGATATAACATGCTTATAATTTTAAAAATGAATGGCAACCCAAGCATTAATTGTTCAGAGCAAACCAAAAGTCATTACTATCTTCCCCTGCACGTCTTTGTCCTCTCTTCCTTGTACTTTCCTCTTCCCTCCTTCCCCACCTTAACGAATATCCAAAATGGCAGCAAAGATTGAATTACAAGATGACCAGATTACTAGTACAAAAAAAGGATCAAGAGATGCAGAGGGAAAGTACTAGGGTGGGGCTGAGGGAAGGGGGGTTGTGAGGAGAAAGCTGGAGTCTTCATAAAAGTATTTGGGCCACTAATGTATGTAGTGGGACTTTTGCGGGGAGGGTGAATATTCAAAGATATATTTAAGTTTTTGCTGCAGTATATAGTGTAAACCCCTCCTTCATCCCTGAAAAGCTTTCAGTAAGTTTCTACATTTTCTTCAGTGATTTAAAATGAGAAGTGATACTGGGTTGTGCCATTATGTTGAGACTGACCTGGTGGGGGTGTGGCCAAAGAGGACTGGTAATGTCTTGGCTCATAGTTCAATCTAATTATCAGTTGAGAGTCATCAGGTGAACCCTTACAGAGACCTGAAGATTTAAAAGTCAGCAGTGGGGCCACCTGGGTGGCTCAGTCAGTGAAACATCTGCCTTTGGCTCAGGTCATGATTTCAGGGTCCTGGGATTGAGCTCCAAGTTGGGCTCCCTGCTTAGGGGAGAGTCTACTTCTCCTTCTCCCTCTGCCCCTCCCCCACACTCATGCTCTTGCTAGGTTGCTTTGTCAAATAAAATCTTTAAAAAAATAGAAGGAGTCGGCCAGAGAACTTTTTAGAAATGCAAATTGTATCGTATTTTTCACCTGCTGCTTCATTGCTCTCAGGATAAAATTCAGCCCTGGGTCCCTCTGTGTCTCTCCAGACTCACCTCAGTTCTTCCAGCACCTTCTTATTCCAACACGTGCTAAATCCAAACTTCCTCTGCCTTTTGCCCAAGCTCTTCCTTATGTGTCAGGGTCTTTTAACAAAACTAAAACTTCCCGAGAGCTACTTTAGCTTTGTAGTCTAGTTAGTGCCTAGAATAGCACCTGCCTCATATATAGTAAGCATCTATAAATAGAAGTCATTGTGGAAAATGAGAAAAGGGAGGTGATTAATTTGTCACAGACTAAGATACCAGGAAATTGATTAAATAAAGGTCTAAGCCTATGATGGAAGACCATGTAGGTATTAAGATGTTATAGAGAAATATTTAATTATGTGACATTTAATGGCAATGCTTATAATACAGTAAGTAAAAAGATTAAATTATAAAACATAATATGAAAACTCAGAAAAGTAGATAAAAATCCAAAAAAATGTATCCCTTGAATATAATGGTACTTGCATTAAGTTTTGTGTTTAAAAAAACTCTCTCTTCCCTTGCAATTAGGAAAGAGACAGGATACTGGTTATCAGCATTTCTTTTTTTTTTTTTAATTATGTTATGTTATTCACCATACAATACATCATTAGTAAGCATTTCTATTTAACATGTGTTGGTGATCCTAGCTGGTGTAATAAATAAAAAATTAAAGGTCTAGAGACAAGAAGGGAAAAGTTATTTTCATATGAAATAACTATAACAGTATCAAAATTAATCAACAGATAAATGGTTAGAATTAAGTCAATTAAGAAATTCAGTAACCACAAAGTAAATACAAAAATAAAATATTTTATTTTTATATAAAGGCAACAATTAGAAAAAGAACTTTGAAGGGTACCTGGGTGGCTCAGTCAGTTAAGCCTTCCAACTTCTCTATTTCAGCTCAGGTCATGATCTCCCGGTGCTGAGATGGAGCCTTGCCCAGGGCTCTGTGCTCAGTATGGGGTCCGCTTGAGATTCTCTTCCTCTGCCCCTCTTCCTCCTTGCATGTGCGCACTCTCTCTCTCAGAGAAATTAAAAAAAAAGAACTTTGAAATGGTTCAAATCATCAAATGCTTAAGAATAATCTGACAAAAGGCCCTTAGCATAGAAAGCTATGTTATCAATTGCCCCTAGAGCAGAAGTTGGCAAATTTTTTCTATAAAAGGCCAAACAGTAAATATTTTAGGATTTTTGGTCCATGTGATCCTGTTACAACTACTTGTTCATGCCATTAAAGAGTAAAACCAGCCCCAGAAAATATGTAAATGGGCATAGCTGTGTTCTAGTGAGACTAGATCCATCAAAGCAGGCTGGATTTGGCCCATGGGTCATAGTTCACTGCCCCTCCATCTGGACGATAGTCTTCATTGAGTCATGGACTTACCTCCTTTTGCAGTGCATCCCTAACTGCCTGCACAATGCTGGCCACTAGTAGATGCTCAATGCAGAGCCGAATGAATAAATTACTGAATTATAGTAAGTGGTGGGATTGTAGGAAATTTTATTTTCTTCTTTGTGGTTTATAAATATTCTCTGGTGTGTATGTATTTGTATTATAATAAAAGAAATGAAGGGCTGTGACTAGACATCAAGTTAACCTGCTGTTACGTTATTCTGCCCCATTTTGTGACTATCCATCTCCATCCCCACCCCCCACTTCCTGCCAAATTTCTCACACAGGCACATATTTTCCACTGAAATCATTTGAATGGCAGACCCTATGAGGCCAAGACAATTTAGGCACCTGAAATAAAAGGTAAATCAGTTTAGTTTTTTTCTTTTTACGTGTGTGGTAAGAACACTTACCATGAGATTTACCTTCTTACTGGATTTTAAGTGTGCAGTATAAAATTGTTAACATATTATAGATACTATGTTATACTGTCGGTGGCTAGAACTTAATCAACTTGCACAATTGAAACTACACCCATTCCCCATTTCTCCAGCTCCCCATTTCCCCCTCCCTTTAGCCCCTGGCAACCACCATTCTACCCTTTGCTTTTATGTGTCTGACTCTATGATACTTCATAAAGGGGGAATCATAACTGTGGAGTTATAAGGCAGTATTTGTCCTGTGATTGACTTAGGTAAATCACTTTTGGAAAAAAGTTCTAGTTTTCTCAAAATGAGGTCTGGAACAGCCGCACCAGCATTAACTAAGAGCATGTAAGACATGCAAACTTTCAGGCCACCCCAGACACACTTAATTACAATTTTTAGTTTAATAAAGGAAGAATTTGGAATGAACATAGAGGCATGGACAGGGAAAAGCCAGGAGTTCAGTGTCAGCAGGGCTGGAACCCAGTGTTTGTTGCAGGTGGGGTAGGGACGGAGCTTGATGCTCAGGGAGAGAAGATGGAAAGTTTGGAAAAATCACTCTTGGAGGGCCATCAGTGCCCTGCCAAGGAGTTTAAATTTCTAGTCAGTGCAGAGCCACCCACCCCCACCCACCCTGGCCATGGCAGACTAGTCCAAGAAGTCACAGATTCACTTTTAGAAGCCATGTAGACTACAGAGGAGTGACCGCTGGTCAAGTCAGCAAGCTGGGAGTGGGGTGTCCTCCAAAACACCAGTCCTAGAGGAACTCATGAAGGGAATGGCAGGTGACAGTTAGCAAATTAGGCAAATAAACAGAAGTGAGAAAGAGAAAAGAGGAAAGGTTTCCAGAAAGTCAAGAGAAGAAAGACAATTAGGCAATTAGGAAGTTTTTACTGGTTTTGATGAGAGAATTCTCAGAGCAGTGAGGGTGGGATCCAGCCAGCAGTAGATGGAAGAATGAAAGGCAAAGAAGTAGAGACAGTGAATGCAGACAATTTTTTTGAAACCTTTGACCACTGGGACAAGGACATAGATGAAGCAGGAACTTTGAAACTGGGACAAATCTGAGTTTTTACAGTATAAGGATGGACAAAGAAGAGAAAGAATAACAATACAGTGTGTGCATGACATAAATTGATAATGTGAGACAAGAAGGTAGAAGTCTAACTGTGAAGGAGGTTGGGAGGATCATTTTCGGACAGGAGGAAATATGTCTGAGACTAGTGAGGTGGGAGGGGGTCCAGATATGGATCATTTGTCACAGGGTATGGGTTGTTAACAGGAAGTAGCTCAGGCAACTTTGAAGAGATTGATGGAAGGAGGGTGCACATGGAGGGGTAAACTGGGATTGTGAAGGAAGCTGTAAACCAAGTTCCAAAGCCTTCAGCAAATGAGGGGGAGTGTGGGCCATAGATGACAGTTGAAAGAAGGTGGGAAGTTTATCATGGAACAGGAACCATAAAGTGGATTGCAGTGAAATTCAAGACCAGAAGAAGGATCTGAAGAAAGACAATGGAGAGAAGTGTGGTTATGGTATGTGAGAGGAAAGGTCTTAGAAACATTGACATTGGGCCTGTGGCCAAGGATAACAAACAAAAGGCATGCCTGGATTGCCTGCCATCATGTTTATGGCCAGTGAAGTTTGAGGTTTCCACTGGTGTCGAGAGTATCAAGAGTTTTGCTTACACCTTCTTTGCTCCATTGCTCTAATGAGAAGCTGGAGGTGGTCTGGGACCTCTGATTAGAATTCACCAAAGAGTGAGGAGGGTCATTTGGGTCCTGGATACTTATCACCCACAGGACAGTTGACATTTAGAGTTCTGGGGCTTTGTAGAAAAGAGTCAAAGAGGTCTGATGCCACTTGAAAGAAAAACCCTTCACTAGAGTTTTCTTCACGTGCTTGGGAGGAAGCTGGTTGAATCCCAGATGGTTGCCTCCTGATGGAATCACGGTGGCTTCCAGTGAGCAGTTAGTAATTCTATTTGTGGCTACCTAGGAGAGCTTGGGCCAGCTTCTAGACAATAGTCTTGGAGCAGAACTTGCGACAGGGATTTAGACAGGGGTTGGAGTCCATTGACATGGCTAGAAAGCCATGGCTAGTCTACAGATTTCAACAGTAGAGGGGAAACAAGCCTTGAATAGAGTTCTCCTCAATGGGTCATCTTAGGAGAGACATTTAAACTCAAAAGAGCCGCACACTCGAAT